TTAAATTATTTTTATAAGTTTTTTATATAATTATTTTTAACAATATTAGGACTAGATGGTTGGTCCAACCCAAATGGATTTTCTCTTTATAATTTTGTTATTATAACATCAGACAAACAAGAATTTTTATATTCACTTAAAGACTTATCTGGAGTTAGACATACAGCAGATCTATTGGAATCAGAAATGCAAAATGTAATTAATGAAATTGGTTTTAATAAGTTTGCTGCAGTTGTCTCAGATAATGCTCCTACTATAGCTGCAGCTCGTAAAAAATTAACAGAGAATTATCCGCATATTATGAATATTCGTTGTGTGGCTCATCTTGTAAATTTAATTACAAAAGATATTTTAGGTAAATTTTATTGATTTATTATATGTTTTATTATGATGTTTAAATTAATTCTCTTTTTTTAGAAAATCCTTTTCCAAAACGTATTCTTCGATGTTGTAATATATTATGTCGTTTCTTTAAAACTTCACATATGGGTGGTTTCTTACTTCGAAAATATATAGAAGAAATGAATATTTCTGGTGGTAGTTTAAAAACTTATTGTGAAACTAGGTGGACATCATGTTATGATACTGTAAAATCAGTTGCACGTCTTCAAGAGCCTTTAGAAAAAGTAAATATAATTTTAAGATAATTTGTTAATATTTTAATTAAATAAAGTATTAAATTTTATTTTTTCTAATTATTAAATTAGATTAAACGTGAAAACTATGAAATAATTACAAATCAAAATTTGAAGAAGATTTTTAATTCTCGTTGCTTTTTTAATGATTGTAATCGAATAGCAATGATATTAGAACCATTACGAAATACTATTTTACTTTTAGAAAGAAATAGTACTACACTTGCTGATTGTTTTATTATGCTAATTCGACTAGCTGTTAAAATAAATCAGATTCCACATGAAATAGGAACAATTGGCTTTAAGAATCATTGCATTCAAGCAATAAATGAACGTTGGGAGAAATCATTTGATGATGAACCTTATATGTTAGCATATTGGTTGCATCCAGCTTATCGAGGTATTTTATTTAAACAAAATAATTAATTAAGACTTATTATTAATACTTTTAAATTTATATATAAATATTAGGTATTGGTTTATCTAATACCTTACAATCACGAATTATAAAATATGCGGGAAAACTAATATATGATATGGGTTATAAGGATAAAGCTGCAATTAAAACTCTAATTGCAAATATGGCAAATTTTAAATGCTTGGAAGGGGCTTATTCTTTGGAATATAATGAAGAATTTAATTCACCTCGGACTTGGTGGCAGTTTATAGAAAAAGAAACATGTTTAAAACAACTAGCAATCAAGCTATTTACTGTTGTACCACATAGTGCATCATGTGAACGTATTTTCTCAGGTTTAGGATGGTTTTATGATAAACGAAGACAAAATTTAAGTGTAACTACTGCAGAATCAATGTCTAAAATCCGGCATTACTATCTTAATAATTCACGACATGAGTTACAATATGTTGGCAAAACATTAACCAATGAAGAAATTTCTAAATTAATACAAGAAACTAGTTTGATTGATAATGAAGAATTAGCAGATGATGATAATGATTTAAATATGGAAATAAATGAAGAAATTCCACAAAATGAGGTATATGTATTAATTATAGCAAAACATATTGATTTAACAAATCCTGTATTTGATGAAGAAGCGGAAAGTTCTAAAAGTGATGAATCTGAACATAATATAGAATCTGATGAAGATGATAATTTTAATATAGATGAAATGATTGATAACTTTTTAGTATAATTTTTTTTTGTAATCAAATTTTGAAAAATTTGAATTTTTTTGTTTTTTTAATATAAATAAAGTAATAATAATTTTGAGTTTTAAATATAATATATTTTCTATAAATCCTTATTAATTTGATAAATTTTAGTAGAATTTTAGTAGTTTTGGTAAGTTTATGTTTAATTTTTATAATTTTAGTAGCGTTTTAGTAGTTTCATATAGTTTTAGTTAGTTTTAGTAATTTTGATTGGTTTTAATAATTTCAGTTAATTTTAGTAGTTTCGGTTAGTTTTAACAGTTTCAGTTAGTTTTAGTAGTTTTAGTAGTTTTAGTTAGTTTTAATAGTTTTAGTAATTTTAGTAGTTTTGATAAGTTTAGTAGTTTCAGTAAGTTTTAGTAGTTACGGTAAGTTTTGGTTAGTTTT